TCCCCACTGTGGGCGGAATGCGGAGCGACCCGAGGTCATGGTGCTAACAGTTGTCAAAGGCCAGCTTGAGGGTGAGGTCGGCGTGGCCGTCACCGGCGGCTGGTCAGGACCTTAGACCCCAACCAGGGACCGTACCGTCCGGCCCGGGGAGCGCGCGGGCCCCGGCTCACCTACGGTGTAGATGGGCCTGCGAAAGGGCAGGAGGCCCAGGCGGCCGTGGAACAGCGGCAGGGACACCCTCAGCAGCGGCTGCAGCGCTTCCTGAGCCGTCCGCACCCACGAGCCCGGTGGGTTCGGGAACTGCTGGTAGAGTTCGTTCTCCCCAAAAGAGAAGACAGGCACCAGAGAGGCCCTGGGGGCGGGGGGAGAGGGGGACTGCGACCACCCCGGCATCCTCACCCGTGCTCCAGCGCCAGCTTGACAAATCCCTTCTGATTCCGGATCCGCAAGCTCAGCGCTCCGGGCTTTGCCTCCAGCGCCTCCAGGGGCCCTCCCACCGCCAGGACGGCCACCTGGCCGCCCCCAGGCCGGGACAACAGATAGGCGGCGCTGGCCTTGGCTGCGGACACCAAACCTGGGGAGGAGGCAAAGGCTGGGGAGGGGGTGGCCCTGGCGCCTGGGTCCTCTAGAGGAGCCGGGAGGGGAGGGCACCGGGAAAGTAGAGCTGGGACCAGGGGCCCCCAGGCGGGAGGAGGGCAGGTAAGAGGTGACAGCAGGGACTTCGCTCCCGAGCTCGGGGTCCCCACTCCTCACCACTAAGCATGCTGTAGTCCCGGAAGACAGGAAGGTGAAACCAACAGGGCAGCATGAGCAGGTGCGGGCAGAGGCCAGGGAAGAGGCGGGAGAAGCCGGTGGCCTCTGTGCAGAAGTTGCTGAAGGCCCCGATGACCAGGACGCCATGAGGGTGGAAGCCGAAGAGATAGTTGTGGGAGGGATCCAACTCTGCGGTTTTAACCAGCTGGGGGGCAGAGGGTGCACAACCCGCCCTGGCGGTGAGATTGGACGTTTGGGGAAGATGACTCCAAGGGTCTATTTTGTATCTGTCCCCAACCCAGTAGAGGGTTCCTGGGGGCCCTCACCGTGATGGGGAAGTAGTCCCGGAAATGTCTCCAGATGGCCCAGTTGCGGACCCAGGCAGATCTGCGACCTCCTGTCTGTGGCGTGTCCCTGTCTCCATAGAGCCAGACCAGGTAGAGGACCCCTAGTATCCAGGCCCGGCTTAGGAGTGCAAGGATCAGCACAGCCAGGCACACCTGGGCTGGAGGATGGGTAAGGGGGGTCTCAGAACCTGGGCATTTAAGTTCCAGGTCTCCCCCTTGCCCACTCCCTTCCCTGTCCCAACTAATTCCTTCTCACTCCTTGAAGGACCCAGAAGATCCCTGCCCCACCTCCCCCTTTGTGGTAATGATGGCAGCAGAGCCTCAGGTGTGTGTGTGGAGGTTAGGTCCAGGGATTCAGGGACTCACACAGCCCCAAGAAGAGGAAGAGCCATTGTAGGACAGCGAACACCTGGAGACTCCGGCAGAAGAGGCTGGAAGAGGCCGGCATTCTGTAGAGGGGTGTCGCACAGGGGTCACGCTGAGCTCTTAAGCATACCCCCTTTTGGCCCAACCCATTGGCCCTGACCCCGGTTCCACCCCATTTTCATTTCTTTTGGTGACTTGCACACTAGGCTCTGATGAGCTCAGGCAAGGAAGGGTTAACCACTACTTGAGCTCATGGAAATGAGCGGGGGTGGGGGTGGTGGATGGGGGAGGAAGGTGTTTGGACTTTGTGTTTGTCAGGACGTCCCACCTCTGTGAAGAGCTAACAGAGGGAGGGGGTGGGGGGGTGGTTGCCAGAGTGGTGTCGAATGGCAGGGCTCCCAACATGAGTGAGAACAGCCTGAAAACCTTTAGGCAGCCTAGGACTCTGTGCAGAGACGCTGCAGAGGAAAGGGCTTTGTGGGAAAAGCTAAGGATTGGGGAGCCCCTCAAGAGAGGGCCCACTGAACAGTGGGCACCCCTCCAAGTGGGATGGGGCCAGTCCTCACTATCACCATGACCCTACCCAACCCGTGACCAGAGGCCTGTGGGAGCTGGCACCTTCTCCAGGTCAGGGAAGGTCACTTCTTTTATTTTTTTTTATTCCAGGTGTGCTAATGCCAACATCACTACCATATCTGAATCTGGTTATGGTGCTTGTTCTGTCTCTTCAAACTATGCTTTTTGCTTTTTAGTATATTTTGAAATTTTTTGTTGAAAGCCAGGCATGATATCCTATCTAATAAATACAGGATATGCAAATTGTCCATCACTTCGCAACAAAGATGGCGGCACCCACAGCCAATAAGGAGGGAATATGCAAATTGACATGACAAAGATGGAGGCGGTGGCTCCGGCCCAGAGCAAAGGCGGAGGTGGCTCAGGCCTGGAGCGAAGGCCCCGGTCCCAGGTGCTGGAGGGAGGTCGGTGCTGGCAGCCAGGGGAAGGAAGGCCTATTCTTGCATGAATCTTCATGCATCGGGCCTCTAGTACTAGATAAAAGGAACTATATAGTAAGTAGGCCTTTAGTGGTGTGGTGGTAAGGTGTGGGGAAGGGGAAGCGTCTACAGTCCTATGACCAAGGCCTCAGTCTTTTAGTGAACCTGTATCCCTGAACTGTGAACTCCACGCATGCTTCTCTGTGGTAAATGTTTCCCTCCACGTCCCGCGTGGTTCAGGGTTCAGGATCTGGAAGAGGAGCCGCACACAAATGAAAGAGAAAAGACAAGAGATAATTTGGAAATATTGGGGGACCAGGCGGGCAAGTCCAACTCAAGGAGAAGGACTTCCACTGGTGCTCAGGCCGTGCCAACCCTTTATTGGTTTGGGATACACCCATAGCCCTTAGGCAGGCAATTTCCAGTAACAGGCAGACTAGCCCATCAGCAAGGATTTACATAATAATAAATGGGGAAGTTGCTTCAGCTACCATTGTCTGGACTAACAATGGGTGCACAGCGCTGACCTTTGCAAGGGCTTCAAGGATCACCAGCCTTCCGGGTTCCTTGTGCACACCTCTCTGCTAGTGAAGACAATAGGCGGTCTCCCACACTTCTCAGTCTGCTCCAGGTGCAGCAGGGTGGCTAGAGGGGGCCGACTGTACATTTCTCTTTCTCCAGGTTTGATAAGGTCTGATAAAACTCCAATATGTTAGGTTCTGGTAAAATAGCTTCTCTGGAGGTCCGGCCTTCTTAAGGACAGAATGCACTGGCATAGGGAATGTCACTTCTTTAGGAAAGTCTGACACCCATCCCACCAAGTGCCTCTGTCACATGCTTTCCTAGCATAAAAGATTTCCCCTCCATTATGGTAATTTTCAGATTAAGGTCTCCCCTACACTGTAAGCAACAAGAGGCAGGTAATGTCCTCATCACTGCAGCCCTGGGAGATGCTTTGTAAATGAATGGGCCCACTGTAGGAGACAGCTTCCAATGCCCAGGTTGGCACACCCTTTCTGTCCCATTCTGGCGCAGGCTTCCTTGTCCAGGGACCTTACCAGGAGGCATTTTCTGCTGTCCCTTCTCTGCACACTTCCACCACCAGGCAGGGTAAGAGAACTTAAAAGTCTAGCCAGAGAAATGCTCAGTCCTTGTGGTAAGGCGATCCACCCACTCAGGTGACCTGCCCCACCCCCCAGGAAGGAAGGTTTCATAGGGAAGTTTTCCCGGGAGTCAGGCAGGAATAAAGTGGACAGCAAGTGGGGTGTAGGAGGCAGGAAATTTCCTGGGACAGGTGAACAGGCCTGTTTGGTTTTTAAAAGGCTTCTTCTGCAAGCGAACACTTGAAGATAAATTCAGGGAAGATAGGCTGATGCAAGGCTGGGAAAGACCCAGCTGAAGGGGCGTGGCTGGCTGGCCTCAGGGTCCCTGGGTGAAGGGGTCTTGGCAAGGGCCTGATGGCCCCCAGAGGCTGGAAGCAAGACCTGCTCTCAGCAGGTCTCTTTTCCGAGGCTGCTTCATATTCCTCTTCCAGGAGGCTTTCCTTGGACTGACCCACCAGGGCTTTTCCTTTCCTGATGCCCCCCAACTAAAAGCTTAGGTCCCAGCAGCAGCAGTAGGGCCCCTGCCTGCCTTCCCTCATAGAACACATGCCCCCAGGGAGCCTTCCTTCTCTGAGCACCATCCCTGGAGCCCCAGCTCAGGGATATGCCACCCGCCTTTCGTGTAAAGATGCCATCAAGTGATGACAGATGCTATCAGGGAGGAGTGCGGGACAGTGGGGCGGGGGTGGCTTTCAACAGAACCTGACAGTGAAGTCCTTTTGGTTTGGCCCTTCTAAGGCACTTCCCAAGCTCAGGCAATGAAGGGCAGTGAGAACTGGGATCCGGGGAAGCTCCCAGGTTCCCACACATTCTGCTTCTGCCTTTTCCTCTTCTCTGTTCTCTTTCTTTGGAGTAACTCTGGTCTCTCTCTACTCTGGGTGGCAGGAGGGGTGCAAGGTCAATAAGTAGATGAAAGATAATAAATGGACTCGAAAATTACAAATCCTCCTTTATTGGGAGTGAGGCTAAGAAACAATAAGTTATCACATGGGGAACCCCATAAGCTCTCCCATGAACTCTTGGGGGCTGAAGGGAGGGACAAGGGGGCTCCAGGAGCTTCTTGAGAGGGCTGTGTGTTGGGGGTTGGGGAGCGAGGTGAGACATCCAGTCCCAGACACACCGAACATACACTCAGTAGATAAAGAGCCAGACAGACCCTCTCCAAGGAGTGGGGCATGAGAAGGCACAACGGCAGGAGAGGTTTGGCAGAGTGGTTGAGTGTCAGGGGTCGACAAAGGACACCATGATGTAGCGAGTGCCCCTCGTGGTAGGCAGCCCCTCATGGTAGTGGGTGAGACGGCCTGGGTGCAGAAGCCCCCAGCCCTTCCGTGGGGCTGAGATCGAACAGTCATAGCGTAAGAAGCGGCAGCCACCTCCCTGGGAAGGGGACAGAAGGGGAGAGTGAGTAGACATGGTGCTGGGGGCAGACAGACACAAGGACACAAGAGGCAGACTAAAGCTATAAGGGAGGGGGCTTTTAGGGGGGTTGGGGGGTCAGCAGATGGGGAGACACAGGAGGAAGCGGGCAGGAGCCAGCCTGGAAGTGACCCAGGAGAGGATAGCAGCAAAATAACTGGGAAATGTGCAGGGGGCAGGCTGTGTGCAGGGGAGTAAGGGAGTGGACACAAGGTTCTAGTAGGGGTGTGTGTGTGTGTGTGTGTGTGCGCGCGCGCGCCGCGCACATGCAGGGGCCCTGGTGGTGCCCTGAAGTGGGAAGACACTAGGGGCTCACCTCATAATCCAGGTCCTTGTGGTTGAGAGCAACGTTGAGAGTGAAGGTGGATGAATCATGATGTGGCCGCAGAGAAGGCTGTTCATCCGGCCGGTAGCGGACCACAAAGTTCATCACTGCCCGGGTCTGTGGGACATGAGAAAAGAGGCGGAGGGATGACCCTCAGGTCCTGGGGCTCTTCTGAGGAAGTGACAGCTGCTGTCCAAGGAGTGGGAGTAGCTGCAGGGGTCTGGGACTGGGGTGTGGGGAGGTTGAGGGAGCAAGGGTGGCAGGAGCAGCGCCCACCTTGGTGTGGTAGCCTGGGAACAGGCTCTCGGTCATGGGCCCCACGTACGTCCTCAGCAGCTGCAGCCACTGGTCCTCATAGCCCACCTGCTTCATGTGGATGTCTACGGTGGGCACATTCTCGTAGCCTCCAGCTAGTCTTGAGTCCTGTGGACAGTGGGCACTGAGCCTTTGACAGAGCCGTGCCAGCCTCCCCTCTCCTCTTGCTCCCAGGTCTTAAAGCCCCTGTTCCCTCATCTGGAACAGCCTCAACCGCTTCTTAGCTTGACCCACTCTTATTGTCTAAGTCTCAGCTAAGATGGCACCTCTTCTGTGAGGTCCCTTGGTCCCCCAAGTCTGGGCCAAGGGCCCCTACTGTGGCTCCCACAGCACCTGGAGTGCTACCGCTACTGACAGCACAGGTGAGAGGGCAGTGTTTGGCCTGCACAACTCAACAGTGCACTTCAGGGGCTGGCACTGAGGACCTGCCCAATAAGGATTTCTTCATAAATGAATAAATAAATGTAGCTGTGACCCTTGTGGGCCCATCCCCTTGGGGACCGCTCTCTGTTCCCACTCCCCTGATACTATTTTCCCTCCATCGGACCCAACAACTCCCTTCTCCTGGAAGGGGTCCTCCCTTCTCCCCTTCCCCAGCCCCTCTCACCTCATGCCGGCCTCCTGACCACTGACCATAGTGCTCCATTTCCTCCACCAGCTCATCACACATTTGGTCTGAGAGCAGAGGGAACCAGTACACATCTGGGCATGGCTAAGGACAGGGCAGGGGAAGAATAACTTGTTCAGTCACAGGGCTGGGTGACACAGGGGGAGGGGGGCACAGAGGGGTGGCAGCCAATGAAGGAGAGAAAAAGCAGGAGGAGAAAGGGAAGCCAGGAGATGAGAGAAGCTAGGAGAATGGGGGTCTGAGTGAGGTGATGAGCCACAGCAAGGGCTCGGCCAGGAGAGGCTGGGCCAGAGGCAATGGGAGCAGCACGGAGAACACAGCACAAACGGCAGGAGAGTCCTGGAGGTGCAGATTCTGAGACAGTGCTTTCCAAACTTCTCCACAAAAGTGTCATTTTGTAGACAAGAGGCTCACTGAGTCATGCTGGAGTGGGGAGCTGAAAGCCTATCTGATCAGCCTTTGCCTTCATCGTGCCCGAGGAGAAAAGCCTAAGGCACCTGAGGAAAGTCAGTTTGGAAACCACTAATCCAGACGGTGGACCCAAGGGATGACAGCCACCAGGCAGTAAGGGGTCCTGAGTGAGGCTCACCTGTTCCACGAGTCCCTCCCCTTCCAGAGCCCGGCTGTAGTTCTCGTGAATATACTGCTCCTTCCAGTCCTGGGGAGGAAGTAGGGGTACACCTTGATGTGTGTCCTCTTTACTTCCTCTGGTCCCACCCAGGAAACCCCAGCACCTGGACAGCCCCTCCCTGGGCAGTCGCAGGTCCTGCAAGGGTGTCATGCCCATGTGCATCCTCCTATAGTGAAGGGCATTCACACTCTTTGAGCCAGGGGCCCCCCACTCACCAGGGGGTTGTCAAAGATCTGCCAGAGGTCGGGGTGTAGGTGGTCTGTGTCATACCGGGAAGTGGCCAGGAGGCGGCCAAATTCATGTTGATTGCTGAGATGGAGGAAGATGCCCTGGAGTGGGGAGAGGGTGTGAGAAGGAGACACGAGGTGGCTGCCTCCCGGCACCCCAGCACTGGGTCCTGCTGCCATGCTCACCTTGTCCCTCAGGCTCTTACAGAAGGCCATGTCTGGGTCGGTGTCACTGCCGGAGAACACCTCCCTCTGAGGCAGCTCTGTCCTTAAGGTCTCCCCCCGGATCACATATGCCTGGGAAATGTAGGGCACATTCCACACGCCCCTGGAGGTACCGACACTAGGGTCAGCTAGGTGGGTAGCCCCCCAAATTCTGCCCAATTCAGCCTGGGAGCCTCTTCCGTCAGGGCACCCACTTTCTGAGCTGAGAGGCCATCTCACTTCCTCTGTCAAGCACTGCTGGTCACAACCCACCAGTGTCCCCCTCCACAGTCAGTTTCTACCCACAGCTGCACCAGAAGATCCCTGAGACGGAGGCTTTGGGAGAGGATGGGGGCATCTGTTCAGGCCCAGGTGGGAGGAGGAGAGGGGCTGCAGCCCTGGCAGGACTCACACTCGCTTCCGCTGCACCAACTCCACGTAGTCCTCGGAGCGCGCGTAGTACTCGTCGGGACTCAGGGCTCCCCAGAAGTTTGACCACAGCTTCCCATGGCGGGACAGCATGGGTGCTATGACCTTCCTATGAACAGGTGGATGTGAGGACTGGGCAAAGGCGAGCCCCATGCCCAGGGAAGGAGCTGGGGTCCCCGGGGGACTACTTGGGGGCCCTCTGGCTGAGCCAGGCAAGCAACCTGTTTTCTTCAATGAGGATGCGCAGGACCTGCTGGTTGGTGATGACGGCATCAGCGTCCAGACTGAAGTAGAATTCACACTCGGGGTCCTGCCGACACTTGTCCCTGCGACCAACAGACAGAGGAGCTGAAACTGAAGCAGCTGCAGAGGGGGTGAAACTCCCCCTCACTCTGGGACCTCCAGGTTGTCCAGTCTGTGAGAGAGGGGCAAGGGAGGGACAGTACATATGGAGGCCAGGAAGGCAGTACTATGGAGGCCATGGAGAAGCTGGATGGTGGATGGAGAAGGAAGGGTGGTGCAGTGGGTGGCAGCCTCATCACCTCCCACCTCCTTTCCCCCACTGATCCTCCCTGCCCAGGTCTCACTCACATGGCCATGTCCCTGGCCTCGCCTGGGGTCAGGGCCTCCTCCGGCCCCACCAGCTTCACAGCTGAGAAGTGGTCCTGGAGCTGGGGCCAGGAGTCGGCAATGTGGGGCTCATGGTACACCTCCTGGAGATGGGAGGAAAGGGGGGAGGGTGCTGAGAGGGCAGAAAAGATGGCACCTGGGAGGCAAGGATGGGGTGGAGGGGGTCAATGGAGAGAAAAAAGGGGGACATTTGTAACACTTTCAACAATAAAGATAGAGTAAAAAAATAGAGAAGATGGCACCTGAGGGATGGGATAGGAAAGGTGGTGAGTGAACAGAGCGTAGGAAGCAATTGGGGGGCAGGGGGGAGTTCTGATCAGGGCAGGTCCCTTGGAAGGGCCACATGGAGAGACGGTCAGGGTGTCTCACATTGTTATGCAAGAAGAGGGTGATCCTGTCGGGGGGATAGTCCAGGAGCATCAGCCTCTGCAGGAAGCGGGGCAGGAACGGGGTTGGTTGTTCCACAAACACGGCCAGAAGCACCCGGGGGGGAGGCTGGAAGATACATGACAGGGCTCATGGAAAGCCTGGTACTCCCACTTGGTCTGTCCTCTACAACGTGGCCAGGTTTGGGGGTTCCCAGGACCTCTGCCGCCCCTGCTTCAGTGTGCTCTCCTGCCCGACCCCTCCTCACCTGCCCCGCTGGGAGTGTCCTCCGGTCCTGGTCACAGAATCCACAGCCTCCCCCAGGAGTCCAGCCATTGGGGACATAGTTTCCCAGGTAATTCAGCTGGAGCTGTTGGAAGAGACGGCGAGAGAGGCTAGGCAGAGGAGCCCATCACCAGAGATGAGGGAAGTCGGGCAGACAGACAGGAACAAGGAAGGGAGCAGTGGGCACTGAGAACCTCTCCTCATACCTCTTCTGCTGGGGCTGGGAAGGACCAACTGCTCAGAAGGGCGGGAGGTACTCAGGGGCTGGGATCAGGTCTGGGGCAGGGACAGAGGTTGTGGGGCCAAGCCTGGGACAGGGGTGAGGGGCTGGGGCTAGGTATGGGGCAGGAGCTGGGGCCAGGCCTGAGGCCAGGATTGAATGGGGCAGGGGCTGGGGCTGAGGGTATGAGCCATTGGGGTACCTTAGTGGGACCGTTCCCATGCACCACAACAGGAAGCGTGTCGTAGGCCACATTCCGTATACGCACACGATTTTGATCAAATTTTAAAACCACCTCATCTGGGGAAGACATGCCAGGATTTAGACTTGCTTTCTCTTGAAACTGCCCTGCAGCAGGTGCTTCAAAATATGGGGGAACCCAGCTACTCTGATGCCACCCTGGGGATGTCCTTCAGTGTGACCTGGACAAGTCACCAGCCCCTCAGTGAGGTGGTTTCCTCATCTGTAACATGTAGATAACCACAGACCCCAGTCCTCCTTTGTAGCATTGTTGTGTTAATGAAATTACAGAAGTAAAGCCCCTGACCCAGGGCCTTGGCACAGAGTGTGTTTTATAGATGTTAGGTAGGACAGCCACTGCTTTTACCACTGTTAGCACCATGCAACTTTATCTATCAGCCATTCAGACACTTGATGAAGTTAACAGAAACACGAGTTGAAGACAACCCCAATTCCAGCAGGAGCCCCTTCCTAATTCAGGACCCCCAGCAGCCTCTCTCATCTCCCCTTCTGATTTGCCTTTCTCCTCACCTAAAGCCCCGTTGAGGTTCTGAAAGATCCGGGATTTATGATCCAGATTAAGGCTGAATTTCTCCTGGATGGGATAAGATGGAGCAGTTAATTCAAGAAGGGGTGGGACATCATTTCTCACTCTTTTCTCTTTACGTCTTTCCCAAAGCCTCTTTACGCCTTCTCTCCCCTTCAGCTAAGGCCTGCCATCCCCACAGAGCTGCAGGTGGCCACCCCTTCTCTGTCCGTCCCTACCCTCAGTCCTGGGTCCAGATAGAGTCGAGTGTAGAACAGCTGATCATCATCGTCATCCTTGTACTTCCACTGGCGGACAATTTTGTGGACGGTGGGGGCAAAGCCAATGAATCCTGTTGGGGGGGTGGGGGGTGGAGAGGAGCTGACTCCAAGACTCCCTGGGTCCCATGAACCTGTCTCCACGCCCTCTCTGGGCTCCAGGTGCCTGGAACACTCTAGACCCCATCACTCCGGCTCCCTCTGCCTCAGGCACTCTGCCACTCACCACCAGAGTTGAGGAAGCGCTTCCCCGTGCCCACCTCAGGGTACTGCTCTGCCAGCCCCCACTCGGGCCAGCAGAAGCTCTCTGCAGAGAACAGCAGGCGGCTGCCACTCTGGACGAACTTCTTCAGCAGTTCTGAGGGGCTGCCAGCCAAAATCACATCATAGCTGGCAAGGAAGGGGAGGATGAACAGGACAGCCGCTGGGAACCGTAGTATCCTCACCCTCTTCCTCTTGTTTGCCACCCCCCCCCACCTTTCTCCCTACCCCAGCCCCTTTACCTGTCCACAAACATGATGATCATATCCTCCCGGTCTGCATATTTCTCCATTTCCTTCTTTAGCCACCTGACCTTCTGTCCTCCACCGACTGTTCTGGCCACATCACCCCCTCGCCACTTCTCTCCCAGGCCCAGTGTCTGCGGGGGAGATCCGCCGCGCCAGGCAGGCATTCAGCGGGCCAGGCTCACCGTGGGACCCCAGGCATCCAGCCCTCAGCGCACTCCTCCAGCTGGAATCCTCCCCCCCCTCCCCCCAGCACCAGGAGGCATTCCTCTCCTACCCGCACTGTATAGTTGAAGAACTCAGCGGATCGAAGGAAACGCCGGTATCCCTCCGTCTCGGCTGTGGCCACGGTGATCACCAGCAGCTTCTCTGTGACCAGCGGGGAATGAGGACACTCCCCCGGCTCACCGCCCCACATGCACTCATCTCAGGTCTTCTTCCCTCCTCCAAACTCTGCTCGTGCCCCTTACTTTTTGTTTCCCCATCCCTCCTAGATCTTCCCCCAAGGAAACTGCGACCCCAGTGAGAGCAGTGACACCCGGAATACGGGGTCAGCCAGCACGGGGTGGGAGTGAGCGGTTCCGTCCCCAAGAGCACAGGCGAGGGAGAGCCCGCCCCCCCCGTGCCCCCC